CTCTTCCAAGGTCCGGTCACCCACCCTACTTTACAGTCGCTGACTTTAACAACTTGGCAGTTGAGAGGTGCTGAAGGACATGGGCCTCTCCCCAGCTGTTATTTCCACAATGCTTAGAGAAAAGCATTGTGGAAAAAATACTCTAATTTAAATGCACAAAAAATACTCAATTCATTGGTTAAATATAAAAGACTATACATCGAGCAAATAGATGTCAAACACGTTACACCTTAAAATTGCATATGCCTGTGGAACAACTCCAAACTACGGTACCTAAAAGCCTTTACAGGTGTAGCGTTTACAGCTAGTTTTGGCCACAACCTTGGTATCCCAAACGCTCCCCAAAAGGGCCTAGCTTTTACATTATTGCCTGGATAGTGAGCACGTTCCTCCTTATGTGGAGATGGCAGATCAGTTTGTCCAGGGGCTGCAGTTTGTATGTCAGATTTGCCCTTCGAAGACGACTGCCTGTTTGGGGCTACCCTGGATGCCATTAAGAGTCTCAGGGGGGGAAGAGCACCTTTCTTCCACAGATCAAGAAAGGTAAGGTGCCCCATCCTAACTATGGCCCTTCTTTCTCTGTGCACAAAAAATGTTTTCGTTCTTAAGGAGCCGCGGACAAAGGCAAAAATTCTTTAAGCCCTCCCCAAGAGGTGCTAAGTGGCCCTGGTCTTGCAAACCTTCCAGGTCCGCAGACAAGTCCTCTTCAGCATAAAGGATTGTCCCCACCTGTGTCCAGGGTGGGGGGATGTCATCGCTGGTTTGTGGCCCCGAGGATCTCCTTAATTAACTGGTGGGTCCACGAGGTGATCCTGTCCGTTTACAAGATAGTTTCACTCCTGTCCTCTGTAGATGCTCTTCCCTTCCAATATGCATCTGGAACTCCTGCTGGCTCTCAGTGGGGCGGTGCAGGATCTGCTACTCCGGGGGGGGGGGGGGGGGGGGGGGTAATCACCCCAGTTCCAGTCTTGGAATGGTTTTGAAGATTTTATTCCAACCAGTTTATGGTTCCGAAGAAGGCAGGGTTCATTCTATTCTGGATCTCAAGGCCCTGAATTGCTTTGTGCTGGTGCAAACGTTCAAGATGGAGTCCATTTGGTCTCTGGTGGTCTCCTTACATCAGAGGGATTTCCTGTCCTCTATCGAAATTAAAGATGCCTATCTGCACTTTACGATTTGTGTCCAGCACAAATCTTCCGCTTCGTGGTTGGGGAGGCTCAGAATCAGTTCGTGGTGCTCCCCTTTTGGTCTCTTCTCCTCGGGTTTTCTCCAAGGTATTGGCCCCAGTTCTGGTTTTGCTGCAACAGTGAGGAATTGCCGTGATTGGTCATCTGGACAATCTTCTATGGGCAGAGTTGTCTTCGGTATTAAGGAACAACATGGTGTTCGTGATCTCTACCTTGCAGGAGTTTAGTTGGCTTCTAAACTACCAAAAATTCACCCTGACCTCAAGGAAGTTGGAATACCTGAGTCTGACTCTCAGCGCTGGCCATGGTGTTCTTTCCAATTGGACAAGCTCAGGATGCTGCATTCCGTGACTCACCTATTGTCCTACTGGTAGTCTTCCCCCTGGACTTGCATGCAGGTTCTGAGCCTGATGATGTCTACCTTTGAGGCAACTCTATGCACAATTCCACACTAGGACCTTCCAGAAGGAGATCTTGCTAAAGTGAATAAGTTAAAGGAAAAAAAAGATGGCTGTATACTCTATCAAAGAATAAATGCATTTAAGCAATATGTTACACATATATTGTTAAATGTGTAATGTATTGATTTAATGCACTAGCTGGGGTTTTCTGAATCTATGATGTAATATTTTGCTAGCTGGTCTGTCATCTTCATTTATCCACTAGGTGCCACTGGGATGTACCCCCCTGGATTTTTCTCCTTCCCACCCGGTGCACTGGGACCTCCTGAATTTTTCTGCGGGCAGTCTCTGCTCTTCAGCAATAAGTGAGGACAAGGTTCACTTGTCTGCAAACATTTGCTGGTCGTCCCTGATTGTCCCACTGTCTGGTATCTACCGGGTTGCTGGTATGTGCATTGGCGGACTTCCAGCACGCAACGTAATCCCGCCTATTGGTCGGGGGGTGCCATCGTGCGCCGCTTGTCTGGGGGGTTGCTATACGCACTGCACATGCACCGGCATCCAGAGCCATACTTTGTATAGTCGGGAATGTGGCTTTTCTTTATGCATTTATCCAGCATCCACAGACGCACAGATGCCATCAGTTTATGGGCACTGACATGTCCTAGATGACTCTTGACTGGATTATTTGGATTCATTTTTGTGATTGGGCTAATTCATCCTTACAAATAGGAAGGATGGGGGAAAATATGAAATTGTTATGCAATTGATTTGGATGTACATTACGTTTTTCCTACCCTCCTGTTATTGCTCATTATTTGTTTATTTTCTATTTTTGCATTTTAGGTCATTGCTGGGTGCTCTGGGCTTAATAATATTCTAGCCACCAGCTTCCCATGTTATCTACAATATATAGAGAGTTTACAGTTATTTCCTCTGCAGGGTTTGTGTTATTTAAATTTTGGTCATGAGGACATTTTTATATTTATTTTTTACCTGTAGTGCCTGACACAACCACTTGTTTTCTCTCCATCTGTCCCCCTATAATTGATTGTATTTTAATACAAACTACCTAGGAGGGGTTTATATGGTGTCATATTCAGGCATTCTGTTTGACTCTAGTAGACATTTATAGAAGCATATTATATAGGGATGCACTGAAATTTCGGGCACCGAAACATATTGGCCGAAAATAGCCCTATAGGTGTTTTGCTGATAGGAAGAATTTAGCCGATACAGGTACTGATACAGGAGGCTGCATACTGCAGATGTGAAGGGGGCGGCTGAGAAAGGCAGGAGAGGAGCAGTGTATACAGTGCCTGGCTGTCGCTATATGTCAGTGCTGGTTGTTAAATGTAATTACCAGCTTTTTTGTTTTCTTCACGATAGCTCACAGAATTAGCTGTCACTTTCCTCCCAGCTAAAAGAAACGTTTCCTGTGGAAGAGACTAAGGGAACCTGTTCAGAACATCAAAAAAGGCTATCCGAAGCAGTGTTTCCAGACATTTTTCCACTCGCCATGGGAGAGATCCCTCATCACTAGTGTTCTGGAGGATTGAGAAGTATCAACCCGACTGGAGAGGGAGAAACAGGATTCGCTCCCTCAGCCAGTTTGAATCTAGGTGGATTTTTAGGATGCACACCCAGGCCCCTCGTCGACTCAATATTGAGTTTGACATAAATTGTTTTATAAGCGACTTTTGATCTTTTATTTATTGGTTTCCCTATTCTCTTATGATCTGAAGTTGATCCAAGGAATATTCGATCGCCGCTCGAGGAATCCGGAAGGAATTTTTCCCTGCAGGAGCAAATTGCATCATGCTTTGCTGTTTTTTTTTCCTTCCTCTGGATCAACTGTGGGTATAGGATTCACTTTTTTTTTTTTTTAATGGTTGAACTGGATGGACTTTTGTCTTTTTTTTTTTTTTTTTTTTTTTTTTTCAACCAGACTAGAACTATGAATGTAACCTAGTTGGCACTAAGTTATCTCCTCACTGAGGCAAAGTGTTGTTTTTTGTTTGTTTTTTTTTATTAGGACATTCATAGGTTAGGTTTAACCTATTTTTAAATATTTAATGAAAAGGAAAAAAACTGTACCAGAAAGATATTACAAAACCGACCCAATACAACAATAAAAGGGATTAAAAGTGAGAAAATACTTGAATTGTTTCTTTGGCCTAGAGGTACAATGCAGCCATTTTTTTTTGCAGCCATTACAGGATTAACACACTGAAACATTACCACATGTGGAAGTGATCGGGCAGCAATAAATCTCTTCCACAAGAAAGCCGACAGACAGCTGAGAAAATGGAAACAACCTCTCATCTACTGTAACAGCTAGAAGTTTGTGTACATGCCAGCGCTGCTGCTGGCTGCAAGACACACATCAGAGGTAGCAAAAGAGGTTAAATCTGACCATTTTATTACCAATTTGCGAATCTTGCAGAAGATGAGGGCCTCATGGTGCTCAGTACACATGCAAATTCTCCCAACACAGTTTGTATTTTGTCATATTTTGCTATCATCGCACTTAGGTTTTACCTTTTGATGACAGTTGTGTTATAAACTGTACAGTCATAATAATTTCCCCTCATTGTTTTACCTGTTTCATGTTACATGCCTTAAACTAGTTCACTTCATGCTACTATTATTAAAGAGGCATTAAATCCTCCTCCTCTTTTCATAAGAAGACAACACCAACCTAGACTTTAGCCATTTGGGGGTTTGAAAGTTCAGTTGAGAGCTGACATAAGCACATTGACAACTGGGACCATTATTAAGTGAGGCGTGTCTTGAATGTGACCGTTTTGGGAAACAAAGTGGTTGTAAATCGCAGACATGAAATATGTATAAAGAATATTCCTCTATAGTTTCTACTTGTCTCCATCCAGAGCATCCAAGTGTCATTTCTCTCTGCTTTTCCATTAGTCTATCTGCATGAGTAAGTTGTGACAAGTTTTCCTGACACCAAGAGAGAAAGGTGATGGGTAGAGACCTGCAGCACACAACCTGTGATTTGACAGCCTCGGCTCTGTTCCTGTGTGCTGTGTGAAAAGGAGGGGGAAGGGGGTGGTTCCCCTTCCCATCCCCTCACTGAGCTCTGCAGTGTGTAATTTCTACCTCTGTCCCCTGTTTTCTGACAGCTCAGACAAGCTTTAGAAATTCTGGACTTTGAACAGATGTAGAGAAGAGAAAACTGCAGATAAACTAGTACAAATTTAGTAGGATTTGTTTCATCTTTGTATCCCATGAAGCCAGTCACTTCACTGGGTATACGTAGGGGGTTACAACCACTTTAAAGGTTTAATTTAAAGCTTCTATTGACAGCTCTCTGAAATCTAAGCTTTGCCAAGTATTTTAGATGTTTTGGTAGATACAGTATGATAATGACCAGATTTCTTTTTCTTTCTAGGGAAGCCTGTCATAGAGACATTGTTAATTTACAAGTGGAGATGATTAAGCAATTTCACTTGCAGTCGGTATGTATACAGAAACGTAGCTCATACACCTTAATGTAAAATTATTGCCGAACCATTGTGCTTTTTCTGTTTTTTGTAAATTGAGGAAGCAAAAAAAAAATGCTAGATATTAGGAAGTTACAAAATGTATTGCAGTATTAAAAATGCCAAAGAAAGCAACACTAAAGAGACTACCTTGCTCAGCATTTGTTCGAGAAAAGTATTGTCTTAATAAAGCTTAATATAAGCAGCTGTGAAAGAACCTGTTATTTGAAAATTGTATAGCTTTGCTTTCTAAGTAGCTTGTAGGCAGTTCACTTAATATTTTATTGACATGTGCTGCCACAAATAAGGTTCAGTTCACAGTACGTAGACACTACTAAAAAAAAAAACCCATTGTGTGATGTAGATTAAAAAAAAATGCTTTTTGTAATATAGGATTCATTTAAATAGTGTAGATTCTGTCCATCAACATGAATTTTTGCACTTAACAGGTCTAGGACAGTGTTCCCCCATCCCCCCCTCCCTTCCTAATTCAGGGAAATTATTTTCATGATTCATTGGCCTAGCTATGCAAGTTCCAGTGGGTCTGGATACAATGACCTGCTTGTCATTGCTGAGAAAAGGTTATGTATATTGAAAATTTTCAGTAAACATGTTTTTGAAAAATCTTTCTGATCAGTCATTCCTTCCTGTCATGAGTTATAGGTGAATGCCAGAATAGCAAGATTTTGGCACAGTGGAAATAATATGCTGCTTTGTTTTGTGTTCTTCTGCCATCATGTACATACACTGAACATTTCGACCACTAGAAAATTCAAAAGTTGCTTTTTTAAAAGTACAAAACATGCTGAATAGGCCAGCCAAAACATCCACCATGTTCAAGCTTTTCTCAGTGCATTTGAGTACTACTTATAGGATTCCAAGGCATGGGATATAATCACAGAATACTGTGGGTCTCTACAGGGCCTCCTCCCGGTAAGAGATACTTGGAATGTAGTCCAATAGAAGCCTCTCTGTGAACAATAGTGTATGATGTCCAAGTTCTCTGGTCTTTGTTTTAAGAAGCAGCATCCCCCTGGAGCTCTTGGGTCATCCTTAAACTATGTTACAAGGAGAACCTGTTGGGAAAGCTTATATTTCAACTCAGAAAACGTAGACCATTTCGTGTTCACACACCTAATCATTTTTATCCTTAAAAGAAAACCATCATGAAAGAAATATGTACCTTTCTATTATTAATCAGTCTATAGGTTAGAGGCCCTCTTTAAGGCATCCTTTTCCCTGGTGGGAGTGGCCATGCAGCCCTCTATTCCCTGCGATGTGGGTTTACAGTCTAACTTGGATCTGGGATAAGAACATGGCTAAGGATATGGGGGCCATTAGGTGTGCCAGCACTTGGAACTTTTTTCCAGGAGCCATGTTTTTCCGTGGATGGGCTGGAAAATGTTTGACAGTCTCTATTCGCTGGTGTTTTACATTATGTTTACAGAGCTTCAGTTGAATCTTGACTCTGAAAAAGTCAGCTTTGACTCTTCAGTGGAGTTCCTGGGTCTAGTTAAGCCATGACTCTGTCTTGGGGTTTCCTTCCCTTGGTAAAACTCTGCAGGTGAAGATTCTGAGATCCAGGGAAAATCTCAATTTGTTTCTGCATGAGGGATCTATGCTTGATGATGGCCTTCTTTGAAGCAGTCAAATACTCCCAGCTTCACTCAAGACTGTTGCAGCTCAACATTCTGGTATTGTGAGACAAATGGTTTCAGTCCCTGTATCTCGTGGTGTCTGACCAGCAAGACCTAATTTAGCTCTGGAGTAGTGAAATTCTGAATGAGTGTTGGAGTCAGAAAAATTATTTCTTCCAATATCTTGGACAATTCTGATGGACACCAGTTTGCCAGATTAGGGAGGAGTTGTGGGTTCCCTCGCAGTTCGAGGGAAGTTGTCATAGGAGTAAGTTCTTTTTCTGATCAGTGTATTTGACCTCGGGGAGATCCACTCATCTCTTCTGCATTGGTCTTCCTGTCTTTGAAGTCACTTCTCAGGGTGAAGTTGAACACCACCATGGATGTGGCCTACATCGGGGAGTCAACTTAATTCACATAGCTAAAAAAGATGCTACTCTGATTTCTAGCTTTTCACATTCCGGCTCTGTCCAGCAAGCTGACTTTTTTTTTTTTTTTTCACCAATGTCTGGATCCAGAGGATTTGGTCTCTCCATCCAGGGTGTGATGTGACCCTGTAGGATCAGTTGAGTCTGATTTATGCCTGTTCCCTGCTTAGTTGTCTTCCTCACCTGCTTTGCTGCATAGAGATGGTATTCCGAAGTAATTATCACTGCACTGAATTGGCTCAGGAGGGTTCAGACTTCTGGTAGATGCTCCATGGTCCCTCCCAGATCATCTCGTTCTGCTGTCCCAAGGACCTTGTTAGATCCTGCTTCAAGGACACTGGCTTTACGATCATGGCTGTTGAAGCACAATTCCTGAAGGATAGGGGTCTTTCGGATTCAGTTATACCTACCCTCCTGAAAGTTAGGAAGTCAACAATCCCACACTTGAAAAGTGTACTTTGCTTGGTGTGAGGTACAGACATTTCCCAATAGGAAGTTTTCCATGGGATGAGTTTTGTCATTTGTCATGTTGCGATCACATAATCTTTGTTCTCAGCTTCGTAAGGGGTTTAACCACTTCCCGACCGGCCGTTGCATATAAACGGCCGGACGGTGGCACTGCAGGGTCGGGTGGCCGTCTATAAACGGCCTCCCCGCACCCTGCTTGTGCGCGCTCCCTGGGAGCGCGCAGCACCGCGATCCGGTGCCCGCTGTGTCCTCCGGACACAGTGAAACACCGATCGTCGGACGGGACCTCTGTACGAGGTCCCGATCATGTGATCACTGATTGGCCAATCAGTGATCACATGCAAAGTAGTAAGCAAGATGTCACTTGTGACATCATTGCTTACTACGTGTGAAATCTGTGAATGATCACAGAGGTCACATGGTACAAGCCTATTCACAACAGGCTTGTACCATCTGACAAGCTGTGACCAATCACAGCTCAGTCAGTACTTCTCAATGAGTGCATGAATGCACACAGAGAGAAAGAGAAATGATTGCTTTTACATCCTATATGGGTGTAAAAGCAATGTGTAAAAAAAAAAAAAAAAAAAAAAATCTTCATCACCCCCCACAAGTAGTACAGTGTCACCATGGTGTCACTGTACTGCTAGGGTGACAATATGTAAAAAAAAATAAAAAAAAAATAATAATATAAAAAAAATAAAATAAAAATGTAAAAAAAAAAAAAATTTAAAAATTATAATTTTTGTTATAAACTAATTTGGATTTTTTTTTTTTTTTTTACTAAAAAGATAACGGAATAAATTTTGGCAAAGATTTATGATGAAATATTATTTATTTGCAAAATTTTATAAAAAAAAAACTTTTTTTTCAAAATTTTTGGACATTTTCATTCACATAGCAAGAAAAATAAAAATCCCAGCGGTAAATAAATACCACCAAAATAAAGCTTTATCTGTTTCAAAAAAAATGGTAAAAAATTCATTTGGGTACAGCGTTGCATGACCGCGTAATTGTCATTCAAAGTGTGATAGCGCTGAAAGCTGAAAATTGCCCTGGTCAGGAAGGGGGTAAAAGTGTCCGGTCTTGAAGTGGTTAAGGAGGTGGGGGCTGAGAAACTGCAGTACACTGATCTTCCCACTGAATGGCTTTGCAGAGGGTGTATCAGCACAAGTCTGATCATTAAAGGACAGGCAGGCTCTTCTCCCAGCACAGCCAAAAAAAAACTGACCACACTGTGCCATTATGCCTAATATGATCAGTTTGGAATAGGAAAGCAGGGGAACTGGTAGGATCACCAGGTATTTCACACAAAGGAAGCTATACAAAGAGAGCGGGATACTTTTAGTACAAAAACCGCCATTTTAAAACTATTATGGATATATCCCCCTGTCTCTAGATAGAGAATAAACAGGTGGGGCACACACCTAGTGCATTATCCAAGGTTTATTGAAAGGAGTGAAAAATAAAAACATACAGACGAAGCATGTATCTAAAAAGAATTTGCATAATGACGATGGCCACAACGGCAAGCAAGGTGTTCCAACTGTCAGTGCCGTCAAGTGGGTGACGCGTTTCGGGGACGAATTTCTTTCCTCAGAGCTACTGACCAGCCTCTGATGCAGATGTGTAGTGGATGGATGATGGGAGCCTTGCTGGTGATCAAGGCATGTTCTCCTAAGCATGAACCTTTGTTCCCACCTGCCTTTGCTGGTTCGTGGCCTTTGGACCTCCCTTATCTCTGGGCTGCGAACTCTTAAATCCGGCATCAACATTTTTCTTATAATCCTCCACCTGTTAATGGTTCCAAAAGCTCCAGGACCTTTAGGCCCTGCATTGTGTGTGGGTGCTGGAGATCAAGTGGAATCTATCCGTTCTGTGGTGACTTCCTTTCATCAAGGTGTTTCCCTGTACTCTCTGTACATTATGGATGTATGCCAGCTTGTTTCCATTTGCGCTTCTTTTGTTTTGCAATTGAGAAGACGCTTTGTCATTTGGGGTGCCTCCCTTTTTGTCCTGGTTTCTACTTTTCGAAGGTGCTGGCCCAGGTACTGACTTTGCTGAGTCAATGGGGGATTGTCAGTATGGCTACCTGGACATGCTCCTCTGGATCACTGGATGGACCTTCTCCGAGGGTACCTGGTCAGGATCCTCCCAGATGACACTCCCACGGTGACCTACTTCTTTCCAGAGCGGTATGTGGAATGCGGCAGCGGTGCTGGAGGTCTTGTGCATCTTTCAACGGTCGAACCTTCATGACCTTGTTTTCTCTACCGTGTACCTTCTAGGCATCAGGAACTGGCAGGCGGCATACCTCAGTCATCAGATGCTGGATTACAGGGTGTGGTCTCTACATCCGAACATAATCTGTCAGATCTGCCTACGTTGGAGCACCTCGTATAGGGATCTCTTGGTGTCCTGCCTCCATAGAAAGGTGCAGAGGTGTGTGGCAAGAGCGAGAGGGCCCCTTGGTGGGTGCGATGGCGTGTTGTTGGCATCAGGGGGCGGTATTTTATTTACATGTTTCCTTCTTCAGCTTTGCAGTATAAAAGCTGAACGGTTGCCCTCCTTTCTGGTGGCTAGCTTGTTGTAATGCTCCTTGAAAGCTACATCTTCAGGAAGATTTTCTGTACTGAGGACCGTTCTTTCACTATTTCTGGATCCGACTGCGTGACTCTTGAGAGCCTGGTTCTGGAAGTCAAGGTTTTTTTTTTTTTTTTTTTTTTTTTGGTACTCCCAACTATGTTGACAGTGTGCAGTTTTTTTCCTATTGAGCGATTAATCCAACACCTGGGAGGCTCTTTCACCTGGTGCGAAACTCTGGGTGTATTTCCGTGCCCACTCTGCGTGACTTGAATTTTGGTTTTCCAGCAGGGCATTGCACAAAAGCTTCCAGTACCATTCAAGAACAGTTTTCTGCCATGGCAATTTTTTCCTCCAACCTATGGCTATGCATTACCTGCATCATACCTTCATCCAAGGGGCTTACCATGTGGCGCTGCATGTGCCGTCCCCTTTTCTGCTATGTGGGACCTGAGGGTTCTTCAGAAGCCTCTTTTTGAGGGGAGGGGGGGGGTCTGGGTAATCCTTTATTGATGCTATTTCAGAGAGTTGCCTTTTTGGTTGCCTTCATTTCCACATGGTGGGTGTCTTGGGGACCTTTTTCCACTCAGTCGCACATAAGTATAAAGGGGGTCCTCCATCCATGTCCCCTATATTTCTGTAGGTGGTAGCAGATTTCCACCTGCTGAGGACTTTCTCATTTATACCTGTCTGCTACAGCACCCTTCCAGAGGTCTGATTCGTCCTCTTTTGCTTCTCACTGATGGCCCCTGGAATGCCCTGGTGGCCTCATCTGCCGCTACTTCCTGTGGGATTCATCAGATGACTGTTTAGGTTTTTACAATTGATGGTCGGGCTCCACTGCTCTCTATCATGGCACTTTCCTCCAAAGCAATTGGTGGCTATTGGGCGTTCTGAGGTCAGGTGTCTGTCTCAAGTTTGCAAGGTATACTATGTATGTGTTCGCGTGCTTGTTTGGCAGGAAGATTTTTACAGGCCGCTGTTCAGGGTAACTTGTTCCCCCATGGAGGATTTTGTGTGGGTGGCTGGCATGTTTGCCTATTTGCCCGTTTTTTTTTTTTTTTTTTTTGGCCCATCGTTTATTGATGCCCTGCTTTCGGATGTCCCTATGGTCAAGAATAAAAGAGCTGTGTCCATCAGTAAACTTAAAGAAAATTAGATTTTTTTTTGTTACCATAAAATCCCTTTCTTTGAGTTCATTGACAGACATAGCACCCACCCCTCTTGAGGGTTTTTTTTTTTCCCTCTACTTACACTGCTTTTTGACTAACTGTATTGCCTATAGCATAAAGGGGACTGCCTATAGCTGGTGTTTTGGCTCTTTTTTCTGCTTGGTGTCCTAATCCTGTAGGTGGTGCTATACACTATGATCAAGAATAGAAAAGCTGTGCCTGTCAACTCAGAAGGATTTTTGCGGTAACAAAAAAATCTCATTTTTCACTTACCTGTAAAATCCTTTTTTTGAAGTATATCACAGGGTCCTTCCCTCTGTCTGGGGTTTGTCTGGCATTGCTTTCCACTAAGCTGAGGGCATGCTGGGAAAGCTTGGGTTATGCAGGGCTGGGTTGCAGCTTTGTATTTTGTCATTGTCCATCACCTGGAGGTGGAGCATAACCCGTTGGTTGAAGGATTAGCCTTTCTGATCCCTGTGATGTAATTTAAAGAAAATTATTTAACTAGTAAAAAATATATATATTTTTTCTCTTTAGTTTAAATAACTTGGATATAAGCTTTTGACGCTTCTGCAACTTCCTAGAGCTTTATACTACTTCTGAGACAGTTATTTAAAAAGTATTGAAAAGTGTTAGCATAACATCCAAGCTACCAGCATTTTCAGGTCACCAATTGAATATCTGTTATTGTCTTACTACAGGTTTCAGTTGTTATGTTTGCAGAAGCGGTTTCTTAATTTTTAATGGTACTCTGCATTCCTGTTGGCATTGGTTTCAAAACATGACACATATATGAGTTTTTACCTTTTTTTTCCTCTTCAAACTCCTTTAACCCAAGTTACACAAACCTTTTCAGCAAACACTGCCTGCTGTTCAATGATTTCTAGTCACTGAAGGATTAAACGTGTTTATTTTTATGAGTGGAATATGCTGTTATTTGTGTTTTAAGTAGCCGGTGTTTTTCATTTACATTTAAATGACAAGTTGCATATAAATAATATATTAGTAGTTTACTGCATTTTGCTGCACATCTTAGCATTTACCTATGTGTCTGTTTTATCTGTTCTTTTCTCCTCTTTTAGACTGAAATTCAAATGCTTCTTGAACGATACTCTATAAATGAAAACTTAGTTTCAGAGATAGAAAAGCTACGTGAAGAGAATAAAAGGTTACGTACTAACTTTTAAAACAAAATCAAAAGGCTTTTATGGAAATAACAAGACAAAAATAAGGTTTTCTCTCAGCTGTGCTAAGTGTTGATAAAACTTCAAGCAAAATTCATTTGTGGTGGCAAAGCAATGTTCACTGGCAACAAGTGTTTACAATGTTGGGAGGAGCTGTGTTACTGGAACTGTAAAGGAAAAAAAGTGGCAAATATTGAAAAGTATCATCACTCTGTATAATGTATACACCTTTGGTGACATTAGATGGTGCCCATACATGTGAAGATTCAACTTGACTTGACCTTGGGATTGGGCGATTACCCCCAAAACTATATCTCTGTTCTCTACAGAGGGACTTGTTGGTAAATGTTTGTTATATGTGATGAGGTCTCCTTGTGTTTTCAAGCTCTGCCTCTTCCTAAACCATGCTCACATCCCATGCAGTTAGGAGTATTTGCACATTCTGTGAAAACAAAATGTGGGGGGAATATGATTCTCTCTAGTAGGCAGAGTTTGAAGCACGATTTGCTGTCAAAGACTCCAATAGTTTTTCTATATTTATGGAGCAATCAACTCACTAGCATCTACCAGATCTGAAATATTGATATTGGGAGGGGATTGACCCCCAGGATCTAAAAGTAAGATAAAAGAAACAGAATTCTCTTCTATGGAAGGTGTGCAGAGTTTGGACCCTGAGATTTTGCTGTCAGATTCTGCAAGAGAAGTTTTACATTTATGGATCAGTTAGCCCACTAGTAGTCTACCAGATCTGAAATGTTGCTAACCTGTAGCCAAATCTCTAGATCATGTGGGACACTATAGTTGCTCTATGGCCACTTAAAGCTGGACTCCAGGATAAGCAAATATTGCCTAAATAAAAGAGGCATGTGTATTCTCTCTTGGTTTGCTTTGGTTATTCCTTCCAGATATGTACAGTAATCCAATAAAAAAAATTATACCTGTTATGCAGGAAGTTTGTGTATAAAGACCAGTCACTGCTACTTTCTCTCCTTGTGCAATGTGGCAGGTCTTGTATCCACTCCCTCTTGTAGTTTTCTTCAGGCAGCCTGTACTGGATGGGCCTGTTGGGTTCCTCCCACAGCTTTGCACAGGTATTGTGCAACATAGTGTTGTCATTTCTGATTGTACAAGATTATAACTGGGTTTGCAATGACATTTGATGTACATTTGTAGCTATTGAGGAAATATATTTGAATAAAAACCTTTTGTGGCCGAAGTTCAGCTTTACGTTGGTACATTCAGTAATTGTGCAGAATAACCACATGTACTGTACTAGACGTGATTAAGAAAATTAATCTGTTGGCTTTAGGAGTTGTCCGTCTACTGATCAACAGTATGAGACGTAATGGCCCCGCTCAGAAGCTGAATGTCAAAGGGATCACCACACCCGCAGATATAGGGGAGCGGTGCCCCAGTGTCAGTCCAGTCACTAGTATGGAAGGAATAGAAAAGGTACTGCTTTCACCTCCCATACAGTCCCGTGTGTAGAGGATGGCCTTAGCCATCATGCCGGCCACGCCCTCTGATGTTTCTCCCCGCCCACCAGGGCTTGATCAGAGTATTCCTCTGTGATCATGCTCCAGTGGGTGGGACGAAATGCGTCAGTGGGCGTGGCTGGCATGATGGCTGAGGCCATCCTGTACACACGGGACTGTATGGGAGGTGAACGGTGTCTTTTCTTCTTCCATACTGATCAACAATAGACTGACAACGTCTGTGTGGTAGATGAGGTCTAAAGCAATGTAATTGGTGCAATATATCTGTTTTGCACATGGCAACCTTCCATTAAACTGTGTACTTGTGTTTTTTTTTTTTTTCGGCAATGTCCTAATGTCGTTTTCTCAGCTAGAAACTGTATGTAAAGCAATAAGTAAATATTTTTTGAAGCAAAGTATGCCTTATTCTTAGATTTGCACCGAAGTAAATGTAGTATAAATTGTTTACTTTTGCATATCCAAGTGCCTGTTTTTATATCTAAATTGGAAGAATTTTATATTTTATTGATTTTTGGAGATTTCTTAAGATTTTAACCCTACAGTTCTTAAAGAGGACTCCCCTCCTCCCCATTCCTTCTCTGTGAACCTGTATGGTAGAATAGGGGAGAAATAAACAATGGGACCTATGGGACTGGACTGGGTCTTCGTTCCCATGCCTGCATTTTGTATATGTCCATTATACTGCAAAAGCAGAATATTAAACGCATCTGTTGGGGCACAAAAAAACTTTCCTGTAGAACTCAGGGAGAAACTGTTTTTTTTTTCCCCTCAGCAAATTAATGTAATTTCATATTGTAAATGCGCAAAATAAGGTGCATTGCGACATGCGCTTCATCTTAGGCATGCAGCAGTTGGCAATACTGCAAGGTCTTGCAGTACTGGTATGGGATTTCCCTGAAGCCTTCACACAGGGCATCTGTGTGGCTGGGGCTATCTCCCATTGCCTTCAATGAAACCAGGAAGTGTTGGACAAAAAAAGTACGACTGGGCGTATAAGACGACCCCCTACTTTTCCTGTTAAAATATAGGGTTTGAGCTATACTCGCCGTATAAGACTACCCCTCTTCCAACGCACACCAAATAAAAATTAAAAAACATCAGATTTGATTTCAATATGGTATGGTATTCCAATGATGGGGTGCTATTCCTCCCACTGACACCAATGATGGGGCATGATTCCTCCCACTGATACCAATGATGAGGCACTACTCCTCCCACTGACACTAATGATGGGGCACTATTTCATCCACTGACACCAATGATGGGGCACTATTCCTCCAAATGATACCAATGATGGGGCACTATTCCTCCCACTGATACCAATGATGGGGCACTATTCCTTCCACTGATACCAATGATGGGGCACTATTCCTCCAAATGACACCAATGATGGGGCACTATTCCTCCCACTGATACCAATGATGGGGCGCTATTCCCCCCACACTGATACCAATGATGGGACACTATTCCTCCCACTGGCACCAATGATGGTGCCCCATCATTCGTGTCAGTGTGTGAGGAATAGTGTCCCATCATTAGTGTCAGTGGTGAGGAATAGTGCCCCATCATTGGTCAGTGGGAGGAATAGTGCCCCATCATTGGTGTCAGTGGGAAGAATCGTGCCCCATCATTGGTGTCAGTGGGAGGAATAGTGTCCCATCATTAGTGTCAGTGGGAGGAATAGCGCTCCATCATTAGTGTCAGTGGGAGGAATAGCACCCCATCATTGGTGTCAGTGGGAGGACTAGCGCCCCATCATTGGTATCAGTAGTAGGAATTGCGCCCCATCATTGGTGTCAGTGGGAGGAATAGCGCCCCATCATTGGTGTCAGTGGGAAGGAATAGCGCCCCATCATTGGTATCAGTGGAAGGAATAGCGCCCCATCATTGGTGTCAGTGGAAGGAGGAATAGCGCCCCATCATTGGTGTCAGTGGGGAGGAGGAATAGCGCCCCATCGTTGGTGTCAGTGGGGAGGAGGAATAGTGCCCCATCGTTGGTGTCAGTGGGGAGGAGGAATAGTGCCCCATCGTTGGTGTCAGTGGGGGAGGAATAGTGCCCCATCATTGGTATCAGTATGGAGAAAAGTGCCCCATCATTGGTGTCAGTGGGGGAGGAATAGTGCCCCATCGTTGGTGTCAGTGGGGAGGAGGAATACTGCCCCATCGTTGGTGTCAGTGGGGGAGGAACAGTGCCTCATCGTTGGTGTCAGTGGGGGAGGAATAGTGCCCCATCATTGGTGTCAGTGGGGGAGGAATAGTGCCCCATCATTGGTATCAGTGGGGGAGGAATAGTGCCCCATCATTGGTATCAGTGGGGAGAATAGTGTGCCCCATCGTTGGTGTCAGTGGGGGAGGAATAGTGCCCCATCGTTGGTGTCAGTGGGGGAGGAACAGTGCCTCATCATTGGTGTCAGTGTGGAGGAGGAATAGTGCCCCATCGTTGGTGTCAGTGGGGGAGGAACAGTGCCTCATCGTTGGTGTCAGTGTGGAGGAGGAATAGTGCCCCATCGTTGGTGTCAGTGGGGAGAGGAGCGGCTGCTCCTTCTTTCAGTTCGGCCGCTTGATTTTCGTGGGGCCGTTCGGCTCCGCCTCTTCGCCGGTGATTGGTCGCCTGTGTGCCTTTCCAGTGCTGGTGCCCAATCACCGGTGAGGAGGCGGAGCCGAGCGGCCGGCGGGACCATCGAGCGGCCGGCGGGACCATTGAGCCATCGAGCGGCCGAACTGAAAGAAGGAGCAGTCGCGCTTCCTGGACCGGATCGTCGTGGGACCGGGACCGGAGCCAGGTAAGGTACAGCAGCCCCTCTGCCCACCCCTGTACTTGGTGTCCGTTGGAGGAGGAGGGGGGTGGAGCCGCCCCTCGAAAAAGTGCCGCCCTGACACCGGCTCGGCGTATAAGACGACCCCCAACTTTTCAAAAGATTTTCACGGGTTGAAAAGTCGTCTTATACGCCGGCAAATACGGTATGTAAAAAGCAAGACACATTTTTAAAGTGTTCGGCTTGGTTCACATCTTTGGAATGCCTGTTTTTGGATATCTTTTTCTGTGCGTTTTTCATGTTACGCGCATAGAACAGCCCATTCACTTTAATGACAAACGCACCAAATTAGCTCATGTACCTTTTTGGACATAAAGCTCTGCGCGTTTTGCTGTTGTGCATTATACTGCATGAGAAAATGCGTGTGTCTGTGCCGCTTTAACAATGAACATCATAAGTGTAGCTCACGTTTTGTGAACTCATGCTTTTGCCTGCAATCATGAACTGCTCAGTTTTGAATGCAACCTTAGGCAGTTTAACATCAGCATGCTGATATGCAGTTTAGGGAAAAGGTGAAAAGTCCACTCTAAGAACATGTCAAGGGAACATGGCTTTTTAGAAGAAGCAATCCTTTCACAAATATACTGTTAAAGTAAATTCAATTATGCAGAGTGTTATCACCTATAAATCTACCAATACATAAAATTCTAAAATTCGTACAAATTCCAATACAAGTGTGCAATACATAAGCATAACTACAAAAACAAAGTGCAAAATTGTACAAGTGCTAATTTGAACTTGAAACCGTGTCCTGTGCTTATATAGTACAAATAATATTTTAAAATCTATCTGTTTCCTTCTAAAAAGTGTCCTATGCAAAAAGGTACACAACTGTGGAGATCACAAATTTCACAAAAATTCCTACTTTTATAACCTGCTCCACCTTCAATAAGAAACTCTACCACAATTACTAAGCACTCACCAGAATTTGTGGCTGGCAGAATTTAAAAAAACCAGCATAAGCACATATGGATGCAGGATTTAGCTCTCAATATAGCGCAGGGGGGACCCCTCAGAATCTTCACAGGCAATATTCATCAATCCATGGGAAGTGGAAGGACCAGGCCAAAGGAGAGAGGAATAGTGTAAAACAATCAAATTTTTTTTTTTTTTTTTTTTTTGGGGGGGGGGGTTCTTTTTCCAATTCTTTATTTTCTTCACATGGTAGCAGTACAGAGATCATAAAACACAGAAGCATCAGAAATAACAGGTTCACTCAGGGCAAATTTTATCCTTGAAGCAATATACACCAAACCCTTAAATCAGTCGGTGCCACATATGACACTAGTATTGCGTATAGATTCTTATCACCAGTCTACGAGTTCGGACTTGACGTGGTTGCACATTTTGTAGTGGATTTCATACTGATGTTGGAATTTTAGGTATCAGTAGGTTTATAGTTGATAGCGTTGTCTGTATAACTGAACTTACTGTTTGATGGTTTTACATCACATAGGTAACAGCTGCATCAAGAATAGCCATTTCTTTAAAATGTATTCTGTGGCGCAATTCTAAAATTTCTCTATATATTTTTAACAATGTTGTGCATTTACTTAAAGTGTTTCATTGTATTTTTCAATATGATATGAGGGCTTTGAATACTTTTTGTGACTTTATTCTTTGTTTTGTGTGTTGTTTTGCAAAATTTCTATCCAGTCCAGATGTTTTTTTTTGTTTGTTTACATTTCTCGTGACTAAAATGTGTCTGTAAAATAGTTGTATTCTATGTTGCAGAGTTTGTTCTAATTAACCTAAAACTTTTGTTTTAGATCTGATATGGAAAGTAATTTTATTTAAATCATAACTATAAATGCTTTTTTAATCCTTTTCAGCACTACATCAATATTATGTAATAAGGGAAGAAATGGCACTGTGGCTAAGTCTGATTGATGTCTAGTCAAGCATGATAACAAAAATTAAAAGGTGTACCAAGAGAATCACAGTGCCTTTATAGTGATATTAAATCATTGAATGATTTAATGACCTTGAATTTTAATAAATTGCTTTTATATTCAATCATAGTGATTTTGGAGCATTTTCAAGCTCAACACTTTTTGCTGCTCTGCTTTATCTTCCACACATGTTAAGAACAGGCTATGAAAATTCATGCTTTTTCAAGCACATCAAAAGTCACACCTGACCCTTACCTGTTTGCAAAATCTACTGGTAACAAATAATTGTGTAAATTGTAATGTATTTGTTTAATATGACAGACATGTTCTGTGATCACTACATAAACAGTTCATTGAAAATGTATTTTGCTCTTAATGTCAGAAGCGTCTCTTCTGCTAGAAAATCCTCGTGCTTAATTTAGCTGGAATTCTAGACTTTTGCCTAGGGTTGGTTTGAGGTCTGTGTCTTTGCTAAAGAGATTTCACTTCCTAATTTTGAAAACCTTAGAAATTTACAGGTAATGTATCATCAAAGTGAGGCCACCAAGCCGGCTGTCAATTAGCAATAGACCGGGCAGGAGGGTGGGATGTCTTTTAATTAAAAGATGACCAGAGACTGCGGACATAGTACAGGAGATGACCAGAGACTGCAGACCTTTGGGGAGGGGGGTGCAGTTACCTGAATTTGACAGGTACCCGCTCCCACTTCCGTGGAGTTGTCCTCCCCTTTAGTCTTGTGGGACACGTGACAGGTCCCAGAAGACTACAGTTGGCCATTCGCAAAGCGCAGCGCTTCTCGCACATGCACAGTGGGCACCCGGCTGTGACAGCTTGTGGCTGTCACAGCCGGGTGCCCACACTGAAGATTCCAGCACCGGGGAGAGAAGACAGCCGGTGAAAGCAGGACTGAGGAGCTGGTTCTTCTGCACAGTAGAGCTGAGCGGCTGGCCTGGTATTCTAACACGGCGGCAGTGAGAATACTGGGCCGGCCACTCCATATTAGCTCCATAAGACTCAGACACTTTCCCCCATTTTTGGGAGGAAAAAAGTGCGTCTTATGGAGCGAAAAATACAGTAAGTGCAATTCATGATACACTTACCAATTCACTGGTTCACATGGGCATAGAAAGTATTTAGAATTTTAGTGGTTTAAATCCGCAGTATCCAAAGACCCTCCCTTACTACTTAAAATTGTATATGGTGGTAAATATGATGCTTATCTTACACTATAGCAGCTTACATACTGCATATATTGTCTGGGTATCTTGTTACATTAATGTTAAAGACAAAACGTTTTTTTTTTTTTAAAACCACTTCCCGACCGGCCGGGCCTATAAACATATAAACGGCCGGACGGTGGCAGTGCAGGGTCGGGTGGCCGTTTATAAACGGCCTCCCCGCACCCTGCTTCTGCGTGCTCCCTGGGAGCACGCAGCACCGCGATCCGGTGCCCGCTGTGTCCTCCGAACACAGTGAAACACCGATCGTTGGACGGGACCTCTGTACGAGGTCCCGATCATGTGATCACTGATTGGCCAATCAGTGATCACATGCAAAGTAGTAAGCAAGATGTCACTTGTGACATCATTGCTTACTACGTGTGAAATCTGTGAATGATCACAGAGGTCACATGGTACAAGCCTATTCACAACAGCCTTGTACCATGTGACAAGCTGTGACCAATCACAGCTCACTCAGTACTTCTCAATGAGTGCAGGAATGCACACAGAGAGAAAGAGAAATGATTGCTTTTACATCCTATATGGGTGTAAAAGCAATCAGTGTTAAAAAAAAAAAAAAAAAAAAATTCATCACCCCCCACAAGTAGTACAGTGTCACCATGGTGACTCTGTACTGCTAGGGTGACAGTATGTAAAAAAAAAAAAAAAAACAATAATATAAAAATGTAAAAAAAAGTTTAAAAATTATAATTTTTAGTTATAAACTTATTTATTTTTATTTATTTTTTTTACTAA